GAAAGTACATCCAAGTCGCCTCATCTGATAGAGACGTTGGTCAATTTGGCTTTTTGCGAGTGAGGTTGAAGTCCCACGGAGCCTGGTCGGTGCGTGTGAAGGGTGGGATTGGCAAGGGCGAGTTGAGGCGCTCTCTCCTCGGCGGCTGGCTCAAATGCCGACAGTTGAGTCTGTATCTCGACCCCAGGCGCTGTCGGCCAAATAGGGTGGGTCTGCGAACAGATGATTAGGCTGGCTTGTGAAACAGCCTCTCTTGCCGTCCGAGTGGGATCGGATCGAGGCCTTGTGGGCAATGTAAACAGATAAAAAAGCAACAACACACATTTGCTCTTCCCGCAGAATCGGGCCCAACGTCCAATGCGTATCGGCGGCTGTTTGCGGACACTGCGCCAAAGCCCGGCCGGCGCAGCGGTACCTCGTCAAAGGGGCCTGAAGTGTGGAGGAATACTGAGCCGCGTGGTCCAATTAGTCCGTAAAGAATACACCCTTTTATGGTGACTCCACGCGGGGGAGAAGTTGTGAACCGGTCAGCGTTTGAGAGAGGCACTTGGCGATCCAGACGGCAGGACCATCGTCGGCTTCAATTGGACTGGCGCCCCAAGCAGCGCTGCCCCCAATTAGGCTTTTGGCGACCAGATGGCAAGATAAAATGTACCCTCGCCAGTTCACCGATCGTCTGTAGATTCCACAAGTGATGTCGCCCATCTTTTCCGACTTCCTGCTTTTTATCATGTGCATCTTTTTTTTCTGAAACTTTGCTCATTTTTCCACTATTCACGTATTCACCGTCTCACATGTTTTCAATCATTGTCCTCGTCTTTCGCTCTTTACGAGTGTACAAGGTTCTATAAAGCTTTTTACCAGTTGGTATCCTTTTCTCATTATTACCTAATTTCTCACTTTCTGTACATTTAAGCTTTTCATTTCGCCCAGTTCTTCAGTCCCTCCAACCAACTACAAATTTGCTGTCTTGCTTACACTGGCTTAATGGCTAAACAATATTGCCGCAAGTTCACGCTGTACAAAAATGAATTTTATTTTATGCCAAATTGGTCTGGAAGTCGAACCTTTTCAAAGGATCACGACTTGGCGAAAAACAGTGAAATTAGAGTGCATTTGAAGAAGGCCGTCTAAAAGTTTAGCGAAAAACATTGTCTGTAGACAGATACAGTAAATAAGTCGAGCATTTTTAGTTCAGGCGAGGAGAAGAATTTTAGACATTATGAACACTTTCCTGGAGTCAGGAAATGTATTCACCCAATTTCGTTTAAGGTAATGAAAGACTGGTAGAAGAAGAATTTTCCCACAATCATATGAGTCGAGCCGACGCTTTCATTGAATTTCACATAGCCTTGCTTTCCCAAAACTAGTTCTCATCCTTAAACGAAATTGGATGAATACATCTCATATTGGGAATTTACTATATTTTTCGAATAAGGTATTGTTCTCTTGACTACCAGTAAATCAGTAGTATGAGATGTATTCACACAATTTCGTTTAAGGTCATGAAGGACTGGTAGAAGAAGAATTTTCCCACAATCATATGAGTCGAGCTGACGCTTTCATTGAATTTCACATAGCCTTGCTTTCCCAAAACTAGTTCTCATCCTTAAACGAAATTGGGTGAATACATCTCATATTGAGAATTTACTATATTTTTCAAATAAGGTATTGTTCTCGTGACTACCAGTAAATCAGTAGTATGAGATGTATTCACACAATTTCGTTTAAGGTCATGAAGGACTGG